TGGGTGGAAGTCACTTCCCGCGATCGATCATCTCATCGATGGCCAGAAGCAGCCCCCACTCCTGCAATGAACCAACCGAAGTGATGCCCCGGGGATCCCTTGCGAGGGGGAAAATATTTTCTCCTTCTGCTGTAAACGATCAGCTTCGAGCCGCCGCTCGGTCGTCAGTGATTGCCACTGGTGGCGGACGTGGGCTTTCCAAGTGTCTTGCCAGTTTCCGCGATCGATCATCTCATCGATGGCCAGAAGCAGCCCCCACTCCTGCAATGAACCAACCGAAGTGATGCCCCGGGGATCCCTTGCGAGGGGGAAAATATTTTCTCCTTCTGCTGTAAACGATCAGCTTCGAGCCGCCGCTCGGTCGTCAGTGATTGCCACTGGTGGCGGACGTGGGCTTTCCAAGTGTCTTGCCAGTTTATTAGTTTACAGGTTATTACTTCCATGTGCCGTGCTTTATGGTTTTCAGTGTTGGTTTTGGCAGAAGCAGGAATCTAAGTGGTGTTGGGTGCTGGTGGTTGTTTTTCTTTCTAATTTTGATTTATTGCAGGCCTCATCCCCAACCCACCCCGTGGATTCAAGCCTGAACACAAAATCCTTGGATAGGTGAAAGATTTCGGAGGACAATGGCAACATCAAAGGCAAGTGTTTTCTCGTTGCTCTGTCGGTCGTTGGGGCAGAAGGTAGACCAGTCCATGCTGGTTTCCATCTCCGCTTGCTCACCCTCTTAGGTACATCAAGAAAAGCAGGTTTCACATGGACCCTGGAGGAAAGAAGGGAGGTGGAGGTGGCCAACTGCACCTGTGATGGGGCAGTGCCCTCCTTGCCCTCATGGGCTAGTGGCCATTGATGCCAGTTAGCCAAAGCAAGAGAAACAACATGGAGCAGAGTCTTGTTTCCAGGGCTTTATCCAGAAAGTCATCATCTATAGAGCCTCTGGTGGCTGATGCCTCCAGGATTTGTGGGGCAGGGAGAAGTGTCATCTGAGATGAAACTGGCGATATCTAATGCCCGGTTATCAGGATCACCCCCAAATTTTAAGCTCCTTGTGATACATTCTAGACAGGGCTATAAATGTCCCAACAATTGTCCAGCTTTGTTTTAAGAAAGCTAGCGTCTGAAGAAGTTCAGTTCTTGGCTTATTAAACACATTTTCCTCCAACTCCATTGGTTCATGTCCCCAGTCCTTATTGTCAGTGCAGAAGGAATTCCCTACTTGTTGAGTACTATCAGGTGAGAGAAAAGCTTTAATCTTACACCTGCCTATTCTCGAGTTCTCCCATTGAACCCATCGGCTCTAACTCCAGCATAGACATCAAGGTAGGCAAATTCTGATCTTTAGAGATGTTGAACCCTGTCTTTCAACAAGGCTGAGCACCTCGGCTAGTTCGGATGAAAACCCAGAGTGGTTTCGCCACCCCATGGATTGCATCCACCGATCTACACTGCCTGTAGTCCAAAACGCAAACCTGGCTTCTCCACTGAGCC